CCCCCCCTCCTCCTCCCGTGATGGGTGTGGTTCGTTCGTTCGTTCTGGCTCAGTCACTCACACGGGCCAACCGGGGAGCATCCATGAAAGCTCCCACGCCCCGGCGGCCCGGGGCTCCGCTGATGTGATGCGCAGGTCAAGGATCGAGAGACGACAAATGGAAAGGGCCCAGTGGTTTAATGAGCACAAACAGGTGGTGTCGGAACTTTGTCGCCACCTGAGCCGTCGCAGCCAAGACGACGTGTCTGCCACCATGTCCCCGGGAAACCCTTCACCAAGGCACAGCCCATACCGTGATTTGATGAAGCTCCATCGTCCGGTCCTAGTCACCGAATTATAGCCTCGTTGCTGAAATTTGGTCCCCTCTCCACCCCCCGGTCGGCGTCGGCCCTGGCCGCATTTCCATTGTTAGCACGCCCCGATTTTTCCTTCTTAATCTTGTTCAGAAGACGGCCAAGCTTCGGACCCCTTCTCCACCGGTACGGCCCTCTCCCTCGCGCGGCCGTTGCTCTCGCCATCTCGACGACTTTCTCAGCCCGGCCCAGGACCCCTAGACCCCTTCAGGAAAGCTAACCAGCGGGGACGCCACCTTTGTTTGCTCCCAGCGACCAAAGTGCGTACGAGTACGTGCGTCGGGAGCATGGACTAAACGCCATAGGCGGGCCCCCCCTGCCGGCGCGGATGTCCTCGGTGCGCTTGCCGGCCCCGACTCAACCTGCCGTCCGAACTTGCCACTCCCACTCACCATCGAGATCTCATCAACGCAAATTTCGCCAGCATAAGCACGGACCAGCCATGTCGGGCCCCGCAAGGACGGGATCCCCGAATCCTGCCGCCCCTCCCAGCATGGACTTTGGGCCTGTGCCTGTCTGTTGCTCGCCAGTGTGTCGATATGCACCGCAGCCCGGTTCCATGCCTAGGCGCCGTCCACGTTCATGCATAGCATTTGAGTGGCAGTGTCACTCCACGATGAGTCGAGCTGGCATTGACGAACGTGGTCATGAGGATGAGCCTTCATGCCTCAAAGTCTGGCATCTTGCGGCTACACCGCAACATTCTGATATATAACAGACAATTGAACCGTCTCATACATGCCTCGTAGTCTCGTACATCCAATACAATCTCATTCGGCTTACAAAGTCTCATTCGGCTTGCCAAGTCTCATTCAGCCTGCACTACACGCAACTACTACTAGAACACAAAACACACCATGAAGGCCTCGATCATTACTTTCGCTCTCATTCAAGGGCTGGCCCTCGCCACTCCAGTGAAGCAGCCGAACAATCAGGGGCTGAAGCAGGCCCAGGACTTACAAAAGCTATATATTGGAGGGCCGAAAAGCTCGGCAGAGCTGGTGAGGGAGCACCAAAGGAAAATCCTGCCGCGGGAATGTTTCAGGGAAGACAAGATAAGCCCCCTCTGCGATAACATGTATTTCACCTGCGCCTTCGATAATTTGGGTCGAGACTTCATCGAGAAGTACTACTCGGAGAAGAAAATCATGATGTTCACGGCGTGCATAATGGGGAACTTCCGCATGAGCAACTTTAAGGGATCAGGGCCAAAGGGGAATATGTAGTGCATTTTACTAGATTAGACCGGGTTCGCAATAGCAGATAGAAGAGAAATCTTTCATTATATAAGAGCAATATGGTCATTCTTGTTTTTTTTTTTAAAAAAAAAAAAAAGCAGACACAAGGAGTAACAGAAATGGCGTCTTCCTCACCCGGTAATATAGTAGCCAGACTACATGCACACTACCAGGGGCAGCCAGACTTTGGTGGAAAAGGGTTATGGCAGGGGTTCGGCACCTCACGCCAAGAACCTGGTTCCCGTTGTAGAATGTACGGAGCAGATATTCCAGAAACATTTGCCGGGGAGGAGGCGGCTTCCCGATGCAACCTTGGAATCACGGTTGATGGGGAAACATTGACCAGCCAAAGTGTCTCGAGGGTACATTGCTTGTTCCAAATGGTGATACTATTGAGCGTCGTGACTGTGACCAGCACCTAGTTGTCCTCGACTTGCCTCTCCCAGCAAAAACGAGGCCGGGTGCGAATAAGAAATAAATCGAGCGAAAACGCGAAACAGGGGACAGGACCGGCTGGCAGCAGAAGAAGCCGCAGCCAGACGGCCCGGGTCCATCCATCGTCCCAATGCAGTTCCGCCGGTACGGCGACCGCGTGCTGTGAATAATTACAACGAGTGTAAAGAAAACAAGTCGCCAAACAAATTTTTTTTGCCCCTTCGACTTCCCACCGAGTCTGCGAAACAATCGATAAACGAACCCACCATGCACGCCGTGATTCCCAGCCTCCTCCCGATTCCCTAGACTCTGAAAGCTTGAGTTGTCGTCATGATGCAGTGCCAAAGCAAAACAGAGGCTCCTTTCCTCCCAATGTTCAGCTCACCAAAGAGCTGCGCTTCAAGTTTGATACAAGAATCGGAGAATGATGTAAATGCAAAGTCATAATCGCTTGTTGTGCGCAAATGATTTTTAGCCGCCGCTCGTCTAACCAAGGTGCCGTCGCAACCTTGGGAGGGAACAGTCCCAAGTACCCTATTTGCCAACCCGCACCGTGGTAGCGGTGTTGGCGTTGAAAGTGAAGGTCGTAACAGTGTCGTACTTGCTCCGAAGTGCGTCTGAACCGTTGGTGAAGGAAGGGAAGCCTAGTCGGAACGCTTCCGCTTCTTCTTCCCTTGCTCACTGCCCTCTTCCGAGGACAGCTCGCTCGCACTACCAGGCACCTCGGAGGCGATTTGGAAGAGGACCTTGCCGTAGTTTGCGTAGTCATCCACACCAGATGCGGCCACCATGGCGGCGTTGTACGGAGCGGCTTCCCCATTCTCGATGAGGTTCATGACAATGGCGCCACCGGCGTGCGTCCGAGCGTGCTGAGCCAGGTTGTCGCTGCGAGAAAACTTCTTGCCGCACTCGTTGCACTCGAAGGGCTTCTCCTGGGTGTGCAGAGACCGATAGTGTCGCTTCAGGTGCTCCTGACGGCGGAAACGACGGTTGCAGAGGTCGCAGACAAACGTCTTGGAGGGGTCCTCGGTGAGAGACTGCTTCCGGCCACGGCGGTTGGTCGGGGCCGGAACAGGCGCGGGGGTCGACTCAGAGCCTGAGCTGCCGCCCGAGTCAGAGGCGTCGGAATCGGTCTTATCCGAGACCTGCTGCGCGCTGCCTGTCTGGACATCACTAGCGGCTGAGTTCATTGTGGGCTCGACGGTGCGGGTCTCCTTGTCGTTGCTCTTCTTCTGGCGCTTGTCCTGGTGGGTGTCCTCGCTGGAGTCGACGCTTGAGGGAGGGCTAGGCAGAGAGGGGAAGGAGAACGAGTCGTTCTCGTCAAAGCCGAAGTCTTCGTCGCTGATGAAGCTGCCGTGGCCCAAGGAAACGACCGAGGAGCCGGTACAAGCTCGCGGGCGGTTGACGTCGACAGGATTGCGCTCGCCGAGATTGACGAGATTGCCAAAATCAGACTCGGAGTCAAGATCCGACAGATCCTCGAAGGCAGGCAGGTCGTGGGGAATCGTTGGGCTGAAGTCAAACGCCGGTTGGGACAGGTGCCGCTCACCCTTGGGCTCGTCTCCAAAGGCGGTGAGCTTGAACTCGGGTGCTAGGGTAGGGTTGGAGGAGCCGGAGGACACAGTCAGGTTGCGGGGGTCGCAGAAGTCGACGTCGTGCTCCGACGCGATTGATCGCGCGTACGGCGTGGGCGACGGCGACAGCGACGGACAAGACGCTGTGGACAGGTCACTTGCGGTGCCGTTAAGCGAGGGGACGTTGACGGGTTGAGATTGGATGTACACTGGCCGAAACTGGTTAGTGACCAGCCCCGCTTATCAGATAGGCACAATGCAACAATAAGCGATAGTGACAGCCGTGGTTTGAGCCCTGAACAAGCCGCCACTGCCAACGACCGACTTCTTCCCGGGCACGGGAGCAGGATGCGGCTTGCGTTGGCACTAGGTCTTGCGGGTTTTTTTGGTCGTTGGGCTCGTCTCATTGTGTTCGACGAAATCGTGGGGAAGGGGCGCTGCAGGCGCAAGGAACGGGCTTCCACTTACCAGGTGTCATCGGCGGCGAACCACTGCTAGACCAGTCCAGCACGATATTCTCAACAGGCTCCAGGCCGGCCTTGATGCCAGCCAGGCCGTCGAGACCAGAGAACATGGGGTTCATCGGCGTCTGCAGCACGTCACAGCTCTTGGGGCTGCCAATAGCACTGCCCGAAGTGGACAGCGGCGGCGTGGACGGGAAGTATGGGTTGTCGTTGAACTCCGTCTCGAGCATGATGGCGGGCTTGTGGTGGACGAGCGAAGGCGAGCCCATCGAAGGCATGACTGAGGGGCCGTTGCTCAGAAGGGTCGGGGGATGCGAGCAGGACGAGGAGCCGGGTCGCGAGTAGATTGGTGTGGACGGCAGCGTGGGCACGGTTGGGTACATGGCGTGGCCCTTGGTGTTGTCGTGTTTGAAATAGAAGGAAGGAGCCTGAGCCACTGCTTGAGGCATGACAGTGGTGTCCATGGCTGTGGGCGGTCGTTCCAAGTCTTGACCACGACGATGCGTGTTAGTCACTGCCTCCAGATCCCAGACCGGATGGAGAAAGTCGCTTCTCACCTTGTCAGTGGCGGGTCGTGCAAGCGTCGGTAATGTTCGTGTCTTCTTTCGTTTCGCAGGCGTCTCTCGATGGTAGGATTAGGCGTTGGTATTTTATGTAGTGTACAGACTGGCTCGCGGGGCGAGTTTTGGGTGTTCTGGTGGGCAGGTGGCCAAATGACGGTGTGTTTTGGTTCTCGATTCCTTAAGCAAGGAGCGGACGACAGTCTCTCGGACGAGTGAAGGACTGCCAGGGAATTATGGCTCGACAGTGGTTGTGGCGGTGTTGTACATGGACGACAAGACGCACACTCTGGTAGATGTTCTGCACGAAGGGACAGGACAGGCCAGAGGCAATGGTGATGTCGTTGGGGGGGGCGCAAAGGAAGGGCCGGAATTTCTCGAAGCAAGGACGAGGAATTCCAAGTGTTAAAGAAGATCGAGTCACTGGAGGGAAAAGAAGAAAGAACCGAGACGGCAATAATAAAAGACAACAAGATCAAAAGAGCACCAGATCCGACCAGGTTGCCGATCGAGTGGTGGTGAAGGGGTCCGTGGTGGCATAAGTAGAAGACGAGGCCCGAGATCAACGCCCAGACCAGGACCATCGAAAAGAAGGCCGACAGCGATAGGCATGACCCAAGTGGGAACCTCTCAAGTCGCCTCCACGCCTGTCTCACTCGACCAGACCAGGATGGCCAGAGCGGGCCCGAGCAAGGGTCCGTCGCGGCGGCCGGGGCGGCACAGTCGACCTGTCTGCGTCTGTCTTCGTCGCCGTCCTTTGGGACGCCCACACCTCCCAGATCCCTGTCTGGGCCGAAGTGCGTGCGTGCGTGGGTGCGTGCCCTCCACCTCTGGGCGTGCGTCGAGGTGCGCGTGCGCGTAGTGGAGGGTGGTGGTGGTAGTAGTGGTAGTCGTCGTCCGTAGCCGCACCGCACCGCAGTGGTGGCGAGGCAAGGTGTGGGCGACGGGTGGATTGCGGATGGCGGACGGTGGTGGGTGGGTGGTGGTCGGGTGGGTGGAGGGTCGTGGAGGCAGTGGACACTCCACTGGCACCAGCCAGACCGCGCGCGCGGGAGAGAGAGAGGCAGGCCCGGCGCAAACACCTCGTATGAGAGCGCTCGCTCGCTCGTCGGCGGCGCGGTGGATGGCGGGGATTGGGCAGACGGCGCAGATGGATGGACGAGTTCGGCCAGGATTGGGCAAGCCTGGGAAATGTGATGGATTGCTGGCGCTGGCGGCGGTGGTCAGTGGTGACCCTGCAGGCCCTGCCTGCCCTGCCTGTCCTGCTTGCCTGCCTGCCATGGCTGCCCTGCTAGCGACCGACGGGTACCTGGCGGACCAACGCGGGTGACCGGGCAGGCCTCGTCGAAAGTCGTCAATGGCTGATGACGGCCGCCTCGAGGGCTCCATCGAGGTTCCCCTCCACAGTTCAGCGGTCCCCGTCCAAGCCGTCCGCCCCCGGCTCCCTCTCGACCCAGTCATGGTCGAGCCAGTCGAGCCAGCGAGCGGCTCAAGCCCGGAGGGGCCAGACGGGTGAGTGCGAGGGGACTGGCTTGACGGGGTCAATGGGGGTGCCGTCACCGGTGGGTGTCCTTAGTGCCTAAGCGGACCACCAGCACCATGGCGCAGCCACTGGAGCCACCCTCTCGATTCATGAGGTGATGGTGAGTTGCAAGTGGGCGTGGGGATGAGCTTCTAATTCGGGACCAGACCAGCCAGCGCAACGCAGCGCAGCGCAGCACACTCTCGCACCCCCGGCTGCGCACGACAAGCTTGCGGACAGTTGGACTCTTGTCATGCGCTGCGCCGTCGGCTGCCCACGCAAAGGCGCTTGAAGGCGCACCCAAGTCGCGACTCGAGATGTATTGTGCCTCAGCACCACCTCACAAATTTCCCACGAGGTAGCGGGCAGCAGTATCTTTCTTGGGCGAGGGACCGCGCGTGAGGGGGAGCTGCCCGCGCGGCACAAGGTAGGGACGAAGTAGATGTACAAGTACCCAACTTACAGCCGGGAACCCTCGTACCGCGGGGCGGCACCTTGGTCGCGAACCTTGTTTCTCATCTCGCTGCGGTACAGCACCGGACGAGCACGCATTGCAGCTCGAGTTGTTGGCAGCATGGCTGGCAACTTGGAGGAAGGCAGGCTTGCCAAATGCTCGCCGTCGAGCGCGCGTGCCTCGTCAATGGCCTGACTGGATGACTCGACGATAACTGGCTGGCTGCGCTGCGTGCCTGCCTGCTTGGGAGCGCCTGCGCCCACCGCGACCATGCCATGGACGCATCGCCGCCTGCCATTTGCTGGCGCCGCCGTCCAATGCATGCACTTGCATGCACATTGACTGCGTGCATGCACCGGCTTGTGTGTGCCTGGAGTGCGCGGAGAGGGACAGCAAGGTAGCGCCCCCCTCCCATCCATCCACCAGTCGCGACACAAAAAGCACGAGTCGGCGGCCTCTTGCTTGCGCTCTGGCGTGCCTGGTTCAGCCCGTCTCCACCACCGCTGGAGCCAGTGGTTGTGCATCCGCGCGTCTCTTTTTCCTCTTTTCGAACGCGGGCGCCTGGGTCTGGGGCACACTTGCACGCGCACAGAGTCGCGTCACAATACCGTGCATAACCCTGCATGGCCATAGGCCCGCCACATCAATGGCTCAGACCGCCTAGCGTGCACAAGAGCGCCAGCCCGCTCTGGCTTCCTCAATGGAACGGAACTCCTTGCCTCTGGTGCGATCGTCACGCCGACGTGCTCGCGGCTGTGCGCACACAGCCCTTGGGCCTGCCCGTCTCTGTCACACCAGCCGCCGCTCAACCAATGCAAGGCACATGCAGGCGATGGCGCCGTGTCGTATGCACGAGTATGCGCGCTCGGAGCCGCTGTGCGGTGCTGTGCGCGGCGCCCCGTTGGCCTGGCTTGTGCGGACTGCATGATTATCCTCGTCCGACGCTTCCATCAGACTCGTCGATGTGGCTCATGACCTCATCACGCTGACACCTACGGGCGTTCGTCACATCGTAGGGCCTCAATTCAGAGCAGCGGTTGGCCAACAGCGGCGCGTGCTTGCAAAGCGCCGTCTGTTGCACACAGGCCACGGCGAGTCAATTGCAATCGAGAAGCCGCCATGCCGCCCGCGACTTGCCCCGGCTCGGCTCCGCTGGCGACCAACTGGCATCGCGGAACGGGAAGCAAGCTGGCAGAAGGGACGAGACGATATCTCGTCATGGTGGATTTGGTGGATTCCGGGCCCAGTGACATGCCACCCGCCCGCCGCCTTGTGGGAGACGGCGACCTGCAACGGGGCCGATCTGCGCACTAACACGCTATCTACCAAGTTAGTATCGACAAGTAAAGCGGGATTTCGTAGTGGGCGAGTGCGAAAAGTGCGTGCGCGCTTTGCGTCGTCATGGCCCTTGTTTCATAGACGAAGACAAAGCCCACACACGGCCATGCTACGCAACTATCCCCATGGTCCCCATCCACTCGACGGCGGCTCTGGCATCTGGCGACTTTGGGCTTGCAGCCTGCATGACGCTGGGCGCCTCGATTTCTCGTTTTCGCGGTGGGCCGCACGGCTGGTGGTGGTGCTTCCGCAAAGCAATACGAGACACACCAGAAAAACCCCGGGTGCACCCCCCTCAAAAAGTCTGACGACGAGAGGCACAGCATCCAGCGAGCGAGCGAGCCGCTTCGTGTTCAAGACGACGCCTCTGGGTTGTGCAACAAACGGCCCACGGGTGTGGGTGCCACTAGCCCGCCAACCCGCTCCTCCGGGACAGCCTCAACTCGTCAGCTAGCGCTGGGTGAGATGGCTGCTCACGCCCATGCTTGCGCTCCTCGGATGCTCCACATAGCTAGTATGCTCTTGTGAAGCATGAGTGCCCGTCTTGCGTCTCGGTGGGCGGTGGCTTCACCAAACGCCTTGGCCATGCCCGTTGTCGACGCCGCCTGGCCCGCAGCCCGAAAGCACGGAGCCTTTTGCTTGGCCCACGGCCGGCCGGGGCGCATGAGAATCTCTTTCCGCCGGCCCGCCCCCAAGGAAAAGCGGACGGCGAGCCGTGTCGAGGCCCGTTTCACCATCCCAGATGACAGCGGGACGGGAACGAGTCAAGGCAGCACGATTGCTCTCGACATTGGACGAAGACCAAGGCCACGCTCGGCCACTGCAATCCACTCGCCTCAGCCGTTGCGCTGCGGACGATTCATGATCTTCGTACGAGTAGTACGAAGTACATATCTCTCCGTCGCGATAGGCAGAGCAAGGGAGTTGAAGCCAACGCAGCTTGGCTGGGCAAGGACAGGATCGCTCTGGAAGCGACCCGTTGCAGGTTCGCCATCCATATGCAGTCAACCATCCTTGCCATCCTTGTAGCGGTGGCAATGCTGGACACACCCTGCGCGGGCGTGCCCCGCGCTCGAAAACTGGTTATACCTGGAATCCTTCGCCACCAGCGGCAGGTTTGCACGATGGTTTGCTCGCATAGTACAGTACTGTAGCAGCATCGGGCCAGTACACGAAAGCTTCTGGTCTTGCGGCAATGCTCGCCTGCCACGGTGTATGGATGCTCGCCTAGAACTCGGACCACGCCACGGCTCGACTCGACTCGCGCAACCGATCACAGGCGTTTGCTTGGCTCGTCGATATCACCGCCTGCACTTGCCATGCCCGCCTACCGAGCAGCAGTTGGGTGTGGTACATCTGCATCCGTGGAGAAGGCTTTCGGGAATTGTGGCGGCCATCCGCGCGCGCTCTCGCTGCAGGTACGGCCCAAGATGGGAAGGGCGGGAACCGATGGGCGAGGGTGCAATGGAAGACTCGACACCGAGCTGTGGATTCGGGCGGCTTCTGCGGCTTCACGACCCGAGCAAGGCCGTTGGGTGGCGTGGCATGCCATGGCCATGAAGTGGACAGATATGCGCAAAGGCCCAAACT